GATGGATGGAGGGAAGGGGCGAGGGAGTTGGGGAGGGGCTGGGGGGATTAAACGAGTTGGATTGGAGATTTTTCTTTTTTTTTTGTAATTTAAACCGATTTTTGTTTGTTCCTCTTGGGGAGAAAGTAAGAACTTGAGGGAGCGGTACGGTATAAATAGAAGGCTTTGAGAAGACAAATTCGAAGTGGCTGTACATGGAGAAATTGGAAGGCGGATTTGAGGGGCGAAGACGAAAAGGGGTTTTAGCGTGGAGGAGAGCATGAGGCAGGGAGGGAGTTTTCTTTTGATACTACGGAAGGGGTACAGGCGACCAAGAAAGAAAAAACAGAAAGTTACGAAGAGTGGGAGAGCGCGGAACAGAAAATCCTTGTAACAGTTCTGGAGAATGACGAATAGATGAATTCGAAGGTTGGAGCGTGACCATGGGGTGAAACAAAAGAAGAAAGGAGTCCATGCTTGAAGAAGTAGTTAACTTTTGTCGGTTTATCAATCACAAATGCAAAGACCATCCAAAAGCTCAAGAAAAACCATATTGTTTTCGAGGAAATTCGTATGGATTTTTCATCATGATCCTGTTCATGATCTTCTGTTTTTGAAGACGTTCCATTTGGCATGGAAAAAGAAACCAGCACAAAGAAAATACGGAAAGTGCAGAAGAAAAAGAAGAGGTGGAAGGAGCTTGTCCTATCAAAGTTGCAGTGTTGCGTTCCATGAGAGTCGAGCTCACGGCTTTATGTATGGCTAGTAACAATAATCTTCCCGTTTGGCTAACAGTGTTGACTCAATGATATGGATGACGAATGATTGCAAGAAGTCATGTTTCAAATCAGCACTTTTTGGGAGTATCAGTGAATTCGAAAACGATTGACTTCATTTTTCATTCCCATTTTCCGGTATCAAAACGAGGCATCTTGAATCGATGAGTCTGAAGAGGTCTGATGGTCAGTTCGAAAGTGGCCTGGCTACATAGGTTTCCAGAAACTGTAAGATTTTTTTCCTCCTTTTCCGCATATATTGCTAAAACGCATTTCACTCCACAAAATCCTAACAACCATTCGCAGCCTCGTACCTTCACATTCTAACATATCGTCTTTCTCTTTGTGCGGCGTCTCGTCTTGGCACGTTTTCATATGCACGTCAATTGTTCTCCCCCCAATCATATGAGAGTTAAGTTTCAAGACGGATTCATCGGTTGCTTGAGAGAAGGTTATGAAATGCGAACGCGATTAAGAGATTTCTGAGGAAAAATTGAAATCCTATCCAAAAGCAGTCCCATCTAAAGAGAATCAACTTCAGTTCAGAGGATGCGAATGTGTCTTTTCTCTTGCATTGGAAAAGTTTGACAGAAAATCTAAATTGATGAAGGAAGTGAGCGGCACTGCGAACCTGTACCTGCATTAAGGATGAACGCTTACAGACACAGGAGATGCGAAATGAAGGCATGAAGTGATTGAAGAAGACTTATGACTCTGGTCACTAGAAAAAGAGGCGAGCATTCGTTGAAGCACGCGGTTCACCGAGAGTCGAGCTCACGAAATCTGGAGTCATTGTTTGATCTCAGTGTTTATTTACTTAATCATGATTAAACCAGCTTCTATTATTTTCTTTTTCCCGAATTTGGATTTAACGGTACACTACAGCTATCAGGATTTGCGCAGAATTTGTGAATAGTTTCTGTTAAAATCTAGGTCTCCCAACTCGTCGTCCAAGGACACTATGATTTTCAAGAAAGCATAGCAATGTCCTTACAGGAAACGTACTTTTTCTCTCAACTCAAGTCAACCAAACCCAAGTCCAATATAAAAACCCTCTTCCTCCTCTCACAAAACACCAAATTCTCCGCCCGCACATCTCGATGCCTCACGCCACATTTCCTAAACACCCTCAGCGCCCTTTTCATCATCCGAGAAAGCCCAACATCGTCCCTCCATTCCTTTACACACTCCCCCTCCACCACCTTCATCACAAATCCTCTCTGCCGGTATACGTTCAGTCTTCCGCGGCCATAAAACTATGAGAATTTATATACGAGTCAGCTCCTCCATTGAGCAAGCATCGTTCAAAAAGATTACATTCAATATGTTTGCGGTGAGAGTCAGGCTCACCATGTCAGACCCATAATTATGACGACTGGTAAGATAACAGAAAGTCCATGCCGCCAGCTGCAGAGGAAAAGAAAATGTTGGGATGTTCTAGGCTGCAACGAAATAGTGTTGGCGATATTGAAATCAAGCACCACAGTTTAGAAAGTTACCAGAAGGAAAACAAAAGCACTCCCCATCACATGTTTTCGTGGGAATTGATCTCACGAATTTCAAAGTACACTTCACCTGAGCCCTTGTTATGCTGTTTATTACGTAAGCGCATATTGTACTGTTTGTTATGTAACTTCACTTAGTTGGATATCTTTTAGATATAGTTGCCATCAGAGAATTTGATGGAGAAAAAGGTGACTGGCAACTGTGAACCTGACCATCAACATAGATTGATATCTGCAAAAAACATGGCCTGCACACAACCCAACATTTTCGTCTTCGAAGTTCAGTGCCTTCCGTGAGAATCAAACTCACGACCTTCTGCTTCCTAGGCAGACGCTCTGCTGAGCCAGGAAGGCCTTTGAAGTTATTAGTCACGTGATGCATACAGAACGATTCTTTTCTCTCAACCAATTTCGTCCAATATCAGTTCTGACTGACTTCCTTTGCCCCCTCCACTCGATTCAGTGGCGGTTCATTTCTCCAACACATGTCCCGGTCATCAGTTAAACCCTTCACGCTTCACGCTTCACGCTTACCACATCATCCCAACTCAAAACAAAACGAACCCTCTATCAAACATCGAAAACACCAAACAAACTTGACTTAAAAAAAACTACCACTGGGAAATGGACCCTCCCAAAACTGTACATAAAACTTTCATAAACGTTAAAGAACGACGCAGAAAAAGACAGTGGTTTGAAGCAGACAGTTGAATGATCAGAAAACTGAGCGCAGTTCGTCCAAAAAACACCATCAAAAACGTTCCGAAACCCGTCTCCTCCTCATCGTAGCTACGGTGACTCCTTAACCACCCCCCTATCACCCCAC